CATGACCAGAGGTGAGGGGAGGAACGTAGACTGACCGGTAAACAGAGAGCTTTGCTTTACAGCTCCCTCTTCACCACAATGGACCAGTACAGAGTCCACAATACTGCAGACGCTGCACCAATCCATCTGTCAGTCTCACGCTCCATTCTTCCCTCACTCGTGAACAAAACCCAGAGATACTTAAACTCCTCCACTTGAGGCAGAACCTCACCCTGGACCTGAAGAGAACAATCCACCCTTTTCTGACTGAGGACCATGACCTCAGATCTGGAGGTGCTGGTTCTCATTCCAGCTGCTTCACACTCGGTTGTGAACCGCTCCAGTGTGAGCTGAAGATCACGGCATGATGACGCCAACAGGACCACATCATCTGCAAAGAGCAGAGATGAATCCTGAACCACCAAACCGGACCTCCTCCTCCTGGCTGCACCAAGAAACTCTGTCCATAAGAACAGAATTGTGACAACGGGCAGCTCTGGTGGAGTCCAGCTCCCACCCTGAAGGGTCCGACTTACTGCCGGCAATGAGAACCAAACTCTCGCACCGACCGTATAGAGACCGAACGGCACGTAACAACAGACCTCCAGTCCTTTACGGATGGGAGTAAGATCAGTTCAGTTAAAACAAAAATCGAAACTCAAACTGGAGTACATGAGAAGAGTTTTAGAAAAGAATAAAAATATCCCCCACCACCGCCCAACTCGTGAATCTGACCAAACATGTCGTGTTTCTGACTGCTGGTTCTGAAGGTATGGGGGGCTGGATGGTCTTCCAACAACTCCAGATTGGAATTATTATTTATGTCAACAAAAATCTTTTTTGGGCGTATTAAGGAAGTAAAATTCCTTTATTTCAAAAAGTCTTTGTTATAAGCCTTGAAGGAGCGAACATATATTTCCCATGGTGCATTGCTTCACCTGACTGATCAAACTTGTGTGTGCGTTTTATCCAGGGAGAAGGATGTAGCAGCCATTGATGTAAACATGGGCTGTCCAAAAGAGTACTCCACCAAGGTGAGTTCATGTCGAGATGTTTCTACTGTAAACCGAACCTCTGGTTGACCTTTGACCTGCGCTCTCCTACAGGGAGGGATGGGAGCTGCTCTGCTATCAGATCCAGGCAAGATTGAATCTGTGAGAACGCCGACCTAAATATATTCACTCCCTTTTAAGTTGGTGATTTTAATAAATAGCTCTTTAATGGATTGTATGTGAAACAAAGGACTGTTGACTTTTATTTATTGTAGATTTTTTTAATTTCATTTATTTTTTGGTAGATCCTGAAGAAGCTTGTGACGGGAGTTTCTCTACCAGTGACATGTAAAATTCGAATTCTGCCTTCGGTAAGCTGTTACAAGTTATTTTTATATC